GGAAATCCGTAACCTTTTAAGTTGAGATTAGAAAATAATTATTATTTAAAGTGAGGTTATTAATTTATTGAGCATACGTGTGTCGCAGTGTTATCGAAATTATAAATTTTAGTAAATTGCAACAAACGTTCATAATCTTTCGATTCTTTTTACCCTTCAACCTAACCTTTTTTATCAACATTTGTGTCTCAAATCTTTGATATATTGGTGGCATTTATACAAATGGATGGATTCAAACCAATTCTCCGTTGGTCAATTCATTTGAACGTCAAATTCAAAATTAAAAAGAGTAAAATGGTCATTTCATTATTCTTAGGGAAATATTAAAAATGAAAAATAAATAATTTTCATCCCGTTTCTTTGCCACCTCTATTGCTCCACCAATTAGCTCCTCTAACGTTCATCACAGCGCCATTGCCACCACTATACTACTAACGTATGCGCATAGACTCTTGAATTTGTGACACTTTTCCCAATTCATATTCGCTACGACTTTATAATAACTGCTTGGATGCTTTTGCTCAAATCGAACGAATTGCATCCTCAGCTACACAAGTGGGTAATTAACGGTCACACGTTTGCGGCACTATTGCCTTGATGGACAAACTCTTCTCATTGTGCACATTGACTTCATTTTATTCTCAGTGCAATTATTTTTATTTATTTGCCTCTCCACTATATTATTTATTTAGATAAGTAATGATGAATAATGGAGTTCGAAGAATAAATGTAAGTGATATGCTAATGATAATGAGTTGTCATAATGAGATATCTATCACATTGATTTATTATAGAACTATCTATCATAGTTGTTAGACTTGACCCGTTGTCGATCCAAAGAAATCATCAGGTCTCCGGGTTAATAATTCAACTGGGGGGTCATTATTAGATTGTAATTTTAATTAAATTATATTTTTTAAACAAAATAACGACCATTTTCCAAATCTAAATATATATATACTCCCTTACATTTTTTCCCAAGAAATGTGCATGTGCCATGATGGTCAGGAGAGTGATATTGCTTTCTTGACATTAGGGTTTGAATACTTGCCATGCGAAATTGAAGAAAATTTTTTGCATTACACTTTGCTAACTACCGGTCCGATTTCCCCTTAAACCCTTTTGAGCCAAACAATTATTGAATGGTCTAACCGGTTCACTTGTGGGCTTGAACAATTAATGTAATCGGACTAGACCAACCGCTTCGGCCGGGGAATCGGATAGTAATCCGGTCCAATTTTAATAACTATGCTATCTATTGCTATGGATGGATCTACATTGAGGTTAGTAGGGTCCTCTACCCCACACTAAATTTTGAAATCCAAGATTTTGCAATAGATTTTTCAAGATTTTACACAAGATATTCAAAAAAAAAAATTCTTATAATTTTCAATTTTACCCCCACAATTAAAATTTTGTGAAATTTGCACCCCACAACTCTACCTTTCTTGCTCTTCCCCTAATATGACACAAATACCATTATTTCTAATAGGCTAGCACATATTTCCCTTCTCGAGGTTAAGGGTACTCAAGCAAATAGGTGGATGCTTGTAAGATGAACAAGTTCATTTGAGATCCGCTGTGAGATTTCACACCAGTAACTATTTCATTGTTATTTTATGTTATATTATTTGACACTGGACCCTCAATCAGGGGATTGTTTATGCTCAACAATATTTTCCTCAAAATTGACTTTTTGGTTCAAAAGATGAACAAATAGAGTAGAAAATTTTGATCGAACAAAACTATGGGTAAGAGCTTATGCTATCTACTATAGCCTAGTTACAACCTCCACAAGAATTTTCTCTTTATATGACAGGGATGTGATGTATCAATATTTTTTAACAGCATTAGGACCATAATTATTAGTAAAGATCAAATCCTAGCAGGAATCAGGATCGTGGATTCAAAGTCATTGATGAAATAGAATCTGCCCTCGAGAAAGAAAGCCCTCATATCACATTGATTTATTATAGAACTATCTATCATAGTTATTAGACCCGACCCGATTGTTGACCCGAAGAAATTATCGGGTCTCCGGGTTAATGATTCAACCATTGGGTCAGTGATTCAATTAGTGGATCATTATTAGATTGTAATTTTAATTAAATTATATATTTTTTAAAAAATAATGACCATTTTCCAAATATGAATATAGACTCCCTTATATTTTTTCCAAGGAACATGCATATGCCATAATGGTCACGAGAGCGACATTGCTTGACATCAGGGTTTGAATGCTTGCCATGCCAAAATGAAGAAAAAAATTTGCATTACACTTTGCCAACAATCGGTTAACATTTGAACCAGTTCTGATTTCCCCTTAAACGCGTATTGAATGGTCTAACTGGTTCACTTGTTGGCTTGAAAAATTAATGTAGTTGGACTGGACCAACCAGTTCAGCTTGGGAATAGGATAGTAGTCCGATCCGATTGCTACAGTTATTGAATGGTCTAACCGTCTCACTTGTTGGCTTGAACAATTAATGTAATCAGTCCGAACCGGTTGGAATCGGATGATGGTCCGGTCCGATTTTAATAACTATGCTATCTATCGTCGTGGATGGATCTACAGTGAGGTAGTAGGGCCCACTGTCCCACACTAAATTTTGAAATTCAAGATTTGCAATAGATTTTTCAAAATTTTACACAAGATATTCAAAAAAAATCCTTATAATTTTCAGTTTTATCCTATACAGTTAAAATTTAGTGAAATCTGACTAATAAGACACAAATATCATTATTTCGAATAGGCTGGCGCATATTTCCATTCTCGAGTTTAGGGGCACTCGAGCAAATAAGTGGAATCTTGTAAGATGAACAAGTTCATTAGAGAGCCGCGATGAGACTTCACACTAGTGACTATTTCATTGTTATTTTATGTTATATTATTTGACTATGGATCCTCAATCGTGGGATTGTTTATGCTCAACAATATTTTCTTGAAAATTGACTTTTTGTTTCAAAAGATGAACAAATATAATGGAAAATTTTGATCGAATAAAACTTAGTATCTGTACGAGCTTATGCTGTCTACCTATAGCCTAATTACAACCTCCACAACAATTTTCTCTTTATGTCGTGTAAGGGTCTGATGTATCAATACTTCTTGATAGCATTGGAACCAGAATCATTAGTGAGAAAAGATCAAATCCTAGCAGAAATGAGGATCGTGGATTCGAAGACATTGACGAGATAAAATCCGCCCTCAAGAAAAAAAGCCCTATAAATTTTCTTATACTGCGGGAAAAAAATCCTATAGTATAAACTTAGATCGTTATCTGAATTTGCTAGCAATTTCAACATCATGGATCTCAAGATAATCTTGAAATCATCTCAGTTTCATTATATCAAAAATTACTCGATACGAAGCATAATATCCCAATTTTTCGATAAATATCAGTAAAATTTTAGTACAGCAAAATTGAAATTTTAATAAAAGAGAATTATGACTAATATAAAAAACCATATGAAAATTTTTAGTTTAAAGATTAAGTTAAAACTAAAATATGGTTGATGAAATTTTAATCAGACTCGTTCAATCCTAGTCATATCCATCGATCTACTGACAGATACTAAGTACAAGCTGGACAAGCTTGAGAAAAGAGTTGAATACTATGAGCATGTTTAATATGTTGGAGTAGACTGATTCTATGTCACGGAATCCCTAATTCTCTTTGACGATATGAGTTTATTCAAAGAATTATGTATTCGAAAGAAGATGGTGCGAAGTACTAAAATTTACTTGAATGAGTAAAAATCAGAAAAACTTTATTAAAGATGTATAATATAAGTGTGTAATTACTAACATAAAATCTATGTGGAAAATTACAGTTTTGATAAGATCTGTAACACTGAGATTAAGTAAAAACTGAAAAAATAAAATAAAAATTGCATTAACATAATCAGACTTGTTCCTTCCTAGTCAGCTCCAAGGCTTTATTGACTGGATCATTAGGATCGTTCATATATCTTTTCCAGAACCAGTGGTCTCTCCATACTTGTGTCATTTCTTCAATAGGAATATTCTTCGTCTCAGGCATGAAGAAGTAACAAAAGATAGTCATCAGCACCACGAAGAATGCAAAGAAGACGAAGAGACCAAACTTCATTGTGCACAGCATCGAAAGGAACACTTGAGCCACTAAGAATGTGAAGAACATGTTCACTGCCACATTAATACTTTGTCCAGCCGATCTGATCTCCAACGGGAAAATCTCACTTGGATAAAGCCATCCCAATGGCCCCCAAGACCATGCGAAACCGGCAACATAAATGCAGATGCATATCACCACCAACATGGCAAACCACTTTGGCAGCAACGTCACATCTCCCGTCACACCAAATTTGGCTCCAATAAGAGCTGCAACTGCAATCTGTATCGACAACAAAATGCAAAAGATTACATTAGCAACGACCAGGTATAATTAGTATGACTGCACGTTTCTTGAAAATCAGTTAATTTTTTACCTGAAAGATAAGCATTTGGACTCCTCCTTCAAGAAAAAGAGTTCTTCTGCCCCACTTGTCAGCGTATGCGACAGATACTAAAGTTGCAAAGACATTTACGACGCCAGAAATAACAGCTGACATGAGAGAAGCATTGTTTCCAAATCCAATGGTTTTAAAGAGCACGGGGGCATAGAACATAACCACGTTGATTCCAGTGAGTTGTTGGAAGAAAGGGATCAAGATGGACATAACCAACTGAGGACGATAGCACCGCCTCTTTAAGATGTTTTGCCATGGATTCTGCACTAGTCTTGCTTCATTCTTGGCTGCAAGAATATCATTAAATTCAGCATCAACATTTTCAACTCCACGAATGCGCTTGAGCAGTGCTTTCGCTTCCTCTTCCTTTCCCCTATCCACAAGAGAGTTTGGGGTATCGGAGAGGAAAAAGGACGCAATAATGATGATGACAGCAGGAACGCCAGCCAATCCCAGGCTGAGCCGCCATCCCCAGCCACCCTCAATCTTAGCAAAGATATAGTTGAACAGGTTGGCTACCAATATTCCAATTGTGATCATCAATTGAAAGCAAACATTAAATGTGCCACGCCAATTATATGGAGACATCTCTGATAGATAAAGAGGCACGGACTGCGTAATTAATAGAAGCAAAACGAAGTTAGATGAATGATCCAAATTTTAAATCAACAATAAGTAAATTCTGATACAAATCAATTCTGTTACCTGGTTAGCAAAGCCAACGCCAATGCCCAATAAAACACGGCCTATGATTAGCATACTGATGTGCACTGCCGCAGCGTTGATGATGGCACCAACCAAGAAAATTATTCCACCAAGCATCATTGACTTTCTCCGGCCAAATTTCTTGGTCATTGTTGATGCAAAAAAGGAAGCTACGAGGGCAGCCAAATAGAGGGAAGATGTAAAAAGTGTCAAAATCTGGCTGTCAAACTTGCAGTATTGATTAGTTGATGTATCATCCATCTGTTTATGGTAAACAGACGGAAAGAATTTTTTCAGAAAAGGTGCCATGGAAGTAACTCCACCTGCATCAAGAAAATCAAGAAACTTAAACCAGAATTCTTCTTGAATGATCAAAACCGTGAAAAAGAATTAGAAGGCTAAGTTGTATACCTGATATACCAATATCATAACCAAAAATCAATCCTCCCATGGCTGCAGCCATTAATGTTATGACCACATACCATGTGAGTTTTCCAGGGTACTTTGCAAGATCGTCACCCTGACCGCCTGGGCTAACAGCAATACCAACAACACCCATATCTCCGAATGCAGAACACTGAAATTCAAAAAGAAGCAGAGATTAAAGAGATAGTATTGAGAACTCGAGACTGCGTTGGTATATATAGAGACTTGAGGGATGAAAAAGGCTTGCAGTTTGTTTAGAAGTCTAAAATAAATTTACACTAGGATTCCTACAGGACAATTTATCCATATTTGATCAATACATGTCCTGGAATAACAGAAATTCTGATCCAAGGAGGATTTTACTTTTGATCTTATGTTGTAATCCAAGAATGTGTTTTCATAAAATTAGAACGCCAACTTTTCAGTTTTTCTGTGTATCCAATATTAATAATTAATTTCATTTCAATTTATTTCCGAAATGTGTATAATAGCCAAAAAGTAATTAATTACTGATATTATAGTGAATTTCTTTTATTTTTTAAAAATAAATTAATTAAAGCTTAATACAACTCACCACATGAACGATTTCGTTCAGCCGTGAACAACATGCTTGTTTGGATGTGTGTAACCTAATACATATTGTACTTTTGTTTTTCCGCCGTATTTTAAATGTTATATGAGTATTTTGAAAATTTCATACATGAATTAGGCCACTCTAATATCCTAACATCCTTTCTTGGCGTCATGGTAGAGAGAAAAAGTAAAGACGTGAGGTCTAAAAAGACTGTAATTCTCATTTTCGATATAATGCAATTCTTGAGTGGCACCGAGATGGACACAGCTCTCGCATTGAAAGTAAATCACTTTAAATAATGTGTTTTTCATAAAAATGCCTCTTAAGATATAATAAGTTGATCCTCAACATAAGTTTGTACATCTCTCTCTTTATTAGGGGGAAATACAGTGAACAACTAATTTTAAATAAATAAATAGAGAGAAAGAAGCAAGCAAACCCTTTTTTCTCCCCTGCCTTTTATTTTATTTTTAAATGTTTCGATTTTAATTAAAGAAATAAGAATATAAATCGTCTTTCAATAAAAATGAACATTTTTAACCATCGAGTACATGCAGACCCTCCACTAAGGACTAACTGGTTACAACAGACTTAAACGATGGGATGTCCGAAACTTTGGTAGCAAAACCCGTCGGTCCACATCTGCACTTGGGTTCACTCGAGCTTCATTAAGGTGACTTGTTACTTTATAAGTCGGAAACATATGACACAATTTTTCTTTCTATAAAATTATTGCAATTGACATCGACATTTTGATATTTCAGTGTAAATAATATAAAGCGCCTATGTAGTAACCATTCTTTCAAAATTCAAATTTTTCCATGCTCACTTTTAATCATACATTCTCACAATAAAATAATATTCTTCAAGTAAACTCAAAACTTTTTCCTACTTTTTAACCAGACATTCTCCTAAAAAAAAATGAAAAAAACTCATTCTTCCCAAATGCAAAAGAGTAAAATATGGTCTATTGCATTGTCGTTGATGCAAAACAAAGTATTCAAATAGTTTTATCATCCCTCTCAAGTTCCATTTTTTTTTCCTGCCTTAAATATTATTTCTCATCTCAAAATTTTCACTTACGCAGAACGGGAGATCTTCACAGCAATGATTCGGATTCATTAGCCCTCCATTCTACAATTGCCAGCGTATGGCGGCCACCACAAGCAACAAGTTTAGCACACCAACGTCCTTCCGTTTCGTTGCCGCTGAGATCTACGGGAGGTGGTAAGTTTATGGGAACTTCTGCTGGATGACCAGTAGTAACTTTACGCCCATATCCTAAACGTCCATGGTCTCCACGCCCAAACTGCCACAGGACGAGTCAATATTTCGAAAATCTACACAGATACGATAAAGTCTTGCCATGAATAGGGAAAACAATATTTTGATACCTACCAAGTTCCTCGGCGGAGTTCCAAGAATAATAATAAGAGTAATGTTATTTAGCACGACTAGTGCTTAACACCAGTCCAAGTGGCAGCATTAATGACATTAAATTACAGGTTCAATTAAATGAATCACATAATTTCACTTTTAGTTGAACCGGTCACATAATGTCATATAGACGGGTGCTAGATATTATTATTCCAATAATAAATACATATTTTCCGTTACATTTATAACGAGAGAGAGAGAGAGAGAGAGAGAGAGAGAGAGAGAGGGGGCACTAAGTTCAACTCATGAAATCGTAGAGAATGTAAAGCACTCACTGAAAACATGCGACCATCCTTTGTTAATGCGACAGAGTGAGTACCCCCACAAGACACCTGCAAATTAGATAAGAACCATCAATGATTGGACTTCCATGAGAAGCAAAAGGAGGAAAATATTGTACATTTGAGGTAACTATCTCAAATATATTTCGCATTTCAGCATCCAATTATGCAAAACAGTCCATTGGATAGAAATAAGCAAACAAATGGACCGATAATGACAAAGTACAATATCCTGCTAACTTGAGAGCTAAAAGCAAACTTGAGGCACTCAACGACAAGAGAGAAGATATTTAATCGTAAGAAAAGAGAGAGAGAGAGAGAGAGAGAGAGAGAGAGAACGGCATGACATTGCTTTTCCAAGACACATATGACTTCACATTGTAGTGATAGTAAAATGAAAATGGATCTTTATGAAGAACACACACACCTGCACGATATCTTCCCCAGCTAGAAGTTGAACCGTTTGAGGAACCATTTTGCTGCTCTTATCATCTCCAAATCCAAGTCTCCCATGCTCCCCTCTGCCCCAACCATATACCTATGCAACAGACACATCATCAGCAGATAACCTAATTTAGCAATAATTATACGGTTCAATTACTACACGCATTCAGGATCCCCAGTAAACATAAAGCATAAATGGAGAACTCCAGTGATATGTATAACATACAAACAAATAATAGACAGATGCAAACAACCCCAGCAAAGGTTGAGGAACTCCTTAACTGAAAGACTGAAATAGGGTTGCCCTGATATTTTGTCGCATTTATGCCAACTTTAAATATGGGGTCCCTATATTTTGAGCATTCTTACATAGAGCTTTAATATAATTACGAAAAATCTAATACAGACAACCAAATCCCAAAATTTGAAATCAACTTTCAGCATGCAATACAAATTATAAGTGAAGTTTGGCAAACAGAATTACAATGCAATGGCAAAGGATTCACTTCTATAATCATTTTTTCACTGCAATTATTTCAAACAAAAATGAATATACATTTGAGCAATTTACATACAAAATTGGAAAATGTTGACTACAAGAAATAGCATAACAAAATAATGAAAATGATGATCAAATATAAATGAACTTCTAATTTTATATTAATTCATAAGAAATATTTGTATGAATATGGACAAAGAATTATTAAATTCAAAATACTTTCAACAAACATCTTAAAAGACTTCATGAGGCTAAAGCAAAACAGTGGAATAACAACCTATTACTCTATAGTGTGTGTTTTGAAGATAAGAGAAAGAAAGAAACATGTAAGATTGTAATAATAGCAGTGGGATCAAACCAATCTGGTAAATTGAATCTTCAAAATTGTAATTCAAAGGAGAGAATTTTTTCTTATAGGGGAGAAAAAATAATGTTGGGTGACTGCTGGATGTGGAATTTAAAAAAACACAAAAACCTTTTGCTTGGTTAAGAAAAGAAAATGAATGTTCGGAAGATAAATGGTCGAATTGGTTATAAAGAGAGAAAGTAATGTTTGTTATATATTTATATGATAAATATTTTTGTATTTTCAAATTTTATTAGCTTGTTGTGTTTGCATATGATAATTCTATCTTATAGAATTTCATAAATATAATTTTAATTTTTCTTCAACTAACCAATTAACTTCACATAATTTAATTTGGGGCCTTTATCAAAATAGGGCCTCAAGCGATTACCTATCTCACCTATAATTAGGGCCACCACTAGATTGAAAAAAGCGGGCATATATGCCAATTATCAATCACAAAATCTTAAGAACCATTTGGGTGCATCTTCGGACCCACAAACTGAAGTCTGATGACGTATTTTACCCAATATCTAATATCTTTAGACCAACAACTCTGCATTTCACTATAGCATTTTACCCCATTGCCTTAACAGTCATGGAATAAATGCAAGTGACTAACAAACAGGCAGAAGGATTCAAAGATCTTTGATATTTTCAAAGTTCATAAAAAAATTCAGACCTCAAAGCTTCCACTTCCAAAAACAAAATTTTAACTGTATTGATTCCATTGAATACACTACCAAAGGTATTTTTCCTTTTTCTTTTTGCTTGCATACATGAGATCATACGTCCATGGATGTTAGGCGGATCACTCGTATGAAAATTGATGACATATTGGAGAACACTGGATCAATTAGTGCTTAATGCACACAAAATGGTCATGTAAAGTAATTAATAAGTTGCTGATCACATATTTTTCTTCAAATTACAGGGCCTAGCTGAAATTTGTGATGAAAAGAAGCCAAATCATCACACATCATTTTAGGTGATTAACTTGACGACCAGAGATGGGATATGGTTAGATTCGGCCACTACTCTTATTCCCAGCTTTTAATATTAGTTCTACAATGGTAACTACCTTTTCTCCCTGCTCAATATAACACAAGTACATGTTAGAACAAGCACAAACGAGAGAAAAAGAATCAAAGATACCTCTCCATCATCTGTCAATGCAGTAGAATGCCATCCTCCAGCAGCAATATCTACCTGGAAAACCATGCAGGGTCTATTATGTCATCCATCGTTAAAAATATATACAGAAATCAGTTTCTAAATGCGGCATGGATAAAAATATCTGAACATTTTTTTCCTTTTACTTCTGTTAATTAAAAACATTGAAGAAACGGACAGACGAATCATTTTTAATTCCTATCAGAAATTATGATGAGATACAAATTTTAACAGCTACAGGATTCTGCGGAAACCAAATGATCCATTAACAGTTGAACAGTTGGTAACATAGTTGATGACTTTTTCCTTTAAAAATA